AATATCTGTTCTGCAAAGCTAGAAAATTATATAACAAGAAAAAAATACAATTCAGAGTTTATTTACTGGAAATACTTTGGTAATAGACATACAATACACACAGAGAATCTACTGTTGAGAACAAGCATATTTTTAATGCTAGCATACCACATGGATGAAATTTTTTAATCTGCTGAACTACAGAAGTATTAATATGCAACAGATATGTCCAAATCATGCCAATTTTTATATAAATATATGTATTATATAAAAAGCAGACATTCTTGCAGGTTTGCCTGGCAAACTCTCAAAGCCATTTTTAATCTGATTAAAAAATTTTAACTACTCATGCAGAGACTATTTGAAACATTCAAACAACAGTGGCACTAAAATAATGTTCAGCATAAGAACCTGGATTATTGAACATATCAACATGGGGATTAGACTTTTGGAAAAGGGTAACTACACAAATTTTCCACATTTTAAATTCTTAAAGTAATTGAAAAATGAATTTGTTCTGCTGACATCTATACTCTACTGTAGATCAAAAGGTAAAAATCTTCATTTGAAAGTCAGCTTTAAAGAGTGCTTTTCTCTCTGACCAGCTGTGTTCTTATTATTCTATTTTTAATAGCAATGTTTTCCAAGGTTTCAGAAGTTTTCCCCTGCAATCATGAATTTAAAAAATACATACCAGTGTCAGTAAAATCAGAGTGCTCCTCAATAAAACAGATAAATAATAAATATTTCAAAAATAATTTAAAGGGACTAGGCCAAGGCAAGTGGAATGGAAAAAAGCAAAAAAGTGATCCCCTCAATAAAACTGATGGAAATGTCCAAGCAGGTGAGTGAGTTATTGCTAAGTACCTAAGCATACACATTTCATCCAGTCACTGAATGATTGTATATTATACTAGTACATCTCAAGCGGAAAAGGTACTATACAAGACAAAATTCTACACTACTCATTGCAACAATGACCCTGCATTATAATGCACTGAACTCCCATTAATCAGAAAAATATTGGTAGGCATGAAGCTGCCAAAATGGCAGCATTAAAGAGTAAACTCCTCCATTTTACCCCAAGGAAAAAGTATAGAAAGAATCAGTACGAGCTTCTTCACATTGTCCTGCTGGTGTGCCTTAAGCTGTTCAGTGGAGGATATATCTGAAATGAAAGATCTATTTCTTAAGATTCAGCACCAATACTGCAAACTAGGAGGGCAGGATGATATCTGAGGTGGTTTTTATAATTCAGATACATGTCTGTGGTTCTAAAATACAGCAGTCAAATAGGGTACTGTTCTTCTCCCATTACCTCAAACTGGAGGAGAGCCTGGAGCGCCACAACTTGAGACCTTACAAAAGGTCCAAGCCCTCTTGGACAGCTGAAAAACCGACTGCCATATGCTTTTACTATACTTCTGGCATGTAGTGAGCGTAGAAGGTAGATGATGCAGGAGAGAAGAGACGCCTCACCTAAACTAGCCAACAGAAGATGCCAAACCCAGGGGTGTATGTTAAGCTCTGCCTCTCTCTCAGATAGGCATCCAAGGCTAGGCACCTACCTCTGGTTGGCAATCTGAGTTACATGACTATGCCATTTTTGCAAGAAGCTGGGGGAGTGAGAGAACAAGAAAGGCTCTCCTTCATAACTTTTAGCACAGAGATACTCACCTGGGATGTGGGAGACACCCTCTCCTCCTGAGGAGGAGAAGGGATTTGAGCAGGGATCTGTCACCTCTCAGGCGAGTGCCTGTAACCACTGGACTACAGAATATGCTCAAGTGGCGCTCCCTCACTCTCTCCTTCTGAAGCTGTTCTGCTGCATATAAATAATTTAAAAAAAAAGTCATTGGAGCAGGGTGACTGGATCCTAGGTCCTCCCACCGCCAAGATGAGTGCTCTAACCATTATGTTACACAGTCACTCTCATGAGTTCTTTCTCTTGCCAAATCTTTCATTATTTCATCATAGAGAAACAGCAGTGGCTGGCAAGGCTAGAGGGGACGCAGCCATCCACCCACTTCTCTTTGTTTTATCATTTTCTGAGCACTCCATCACCCATATGTACAGCCAGGTTCAGCAGGTGAAGCTCTGCATCCAGCAGCACCAAAGCCAGGAAGAGGGCGGGCACGTGTGTCCTGGGGGAGGGCCCCACCTGCATGCTGGACTCTCAGAAGGTGGAGCTAGATTCCTCAGTTGTGGCACGGGTCACTAGCTCTTGAGCAGCGCTTCTTGAGAAGGCTGACATTTGAAAAACGCCAGTTGCAGGAGACTCCATCAAGTGGGGAGGCTTGGGAGCCATGTCTAAAGCCAGGGGGCAGAAGAGCTCTGGCTTCCAGAGAGCCTCAGCAAGGAAGTGGGTCATACCTATCCTAGTAGAGATCTGGAGATTTCCCAAGAAGAGGAGATGGGGCTGGCGTGGAGAGCAAAGTCCCCATGCTGGGGATCAAGATGAAGTTCACTGGGATGGGATGAGATGAGAGTCCCAGGAGAGATCCTGAGGGAACTGGGTTGGGAGAGTCTCAGGGGAAGTCGGGGATCCTGAGGTAATAGGGTCAAGGGGGGAGGGGAGGGAATAATAAAGAGAGTCCCAGGAGAGAGCGGAGAAATCCTGAGTCCCTGCATCCAGCTGCACCCAGAAGGGTCTGAGTGTCACAGGTAGGGTTGCCAACTTTCTAATCCCACAAGACCGAACACCCTACCCCCCCTTCCCAAAACCACGCACCCTGCCCCACCCCTTCCCCAAGGCCCTGCACCTGCTCACTACATTCCCCCTCCCTCAGTGGCTCACTCTCCCCCACCCTCACTCACTTTCACTGGGTTGGGGCAGGGGATTGGAGTGTGGAGGCAAGGGGTTGGGGTACAGGGGGGGTGAGGGCTCTGGCTGGGGGCAGAGGGGTTCAGGATGTGGGAGGGGGCTGTGGGGTGGGTGCAGGGGGGCTGAGGGCTCCATCTGGGGGTGCAGGCTCTGGGGTGGGGCCAGGTATGAGGGGTTTGTGGTGCAGGATGGGGCTCCGGGGTTGGGGAAGGTTCAGGGCTGGGGCAGGGGGTTGGGTCACGGGCTTACCTCCGGCAGCTCCCAGTCAGTGGCACAGCGGGGGGCTAAGGCAGGCTTCCTGCCTGTCCTGGCACCGCGGACCGCGCTGCACCCCGGAAGCAACCATCAGGACCAGCTGCTAGGCAGAGGCGTGGCAGGTGGCTCTGTGCACACTGCTCTTGTCCGCAGGCACCGCCCCCGCAGCTCCCATTGCCTGCAGTTCCCGGCCAATGGGAGTGCGGAGCTGGTGCTTGGGGCAGGGCAGCGCACAGAGCCTCGTGTGCTCCCCCCCCACCTAGGGGCCAGACCCAATGGCCGCTTCCAGGGCACAGCACAGAGCCAGGACAGGTAGGGACTAGTCTGCCTGAGCGCCACAGCACCGCCAACCGGACTTTTAACAGCCCGGTCGGCGGTGCTGACCGGAGACGCCAGGGTCCCTTTACAACCAGGTATTCCAGCTGAACACCAGACACCCAGTCACCCTAGTCATGGGGGATGGGGCCCCACCTGTGTGCAGAAACACATGCCAGATGATGCTGTGGCAGGCTCTTCCCAATCTACAAGCTGGAAGAGCCAATGGGCTGGAGCAGGCAGCCAAGCCCAGCCCCACAGGGCAGGAGCCGCTGCTGAAGGGTGATTGCAGAGTGGGCTCAGCCACCGCAGCCCCCAGCCCAAGACTGTATTCGCCAGACACCTGTGGCAAAAGCATCAACAGGAGAGAGAGAGGGAGCTCCCTCTCAGAATATCCCATAGCTCAATGGTTAGGACCCTCCCCTGAGAATGATAGACCCCTGTTCAAATCCCTTTTTCCACCAGGTGGACTTGACCTGGGAATCCCCCATATCCCAGATGAGTACCCTAATCACCAGGCTAAACATTATGATGCAGGTCCTACTCCTCTTCCTCTCATGCCCAGACATTTTGTGCAAGCTCACCTACAGGGGGTCTGATCCAGTAGCCAAGTTCTGAGCAGACTTACCAGATCAGGCCCCACAGGCAAGTTACATAGAGGAACAACTATCTTTCCTCAGTTCCTGCATCACTCTGGGGCTTAGGAGTCTGGAAGCCCAGCATGGGGCTGCAGTGTGCGGGAAGGCAGGCAGAAACACAGGCACCAGGGGAACTTTTACTGTAAAAATTTAGGCACCTATGGGCGAGGTGGCAGCTGAGCAGGATGTTGTGAATCCCAGTAGGACCTGATACTGGGATTTAGACACCTGAAGTGGCAGTTATGTGCTTAAGTTCTTTTGTGAACCTAGCCTTTAGTCTAGTTTAGGAACTACCTAACAGTTCTTTTCATATCTGGAATGTGCAACCTACCCTCCCTAAATTATGCTGTCATTCTGGGAAAAGACAAGCCACAAATACTGACTGAGATAGAAAAGCCAGAACACAATTTTCAAATCTTGTTAGGAAAAAGACAGTTATACCATGTGCTCTTTCTACCAGGCCTATCAACTGTTTGTGTTTTTACTTGTTAATTCACAGAAGTTGCTATTGCTAGAAAGTATCAGCAGTAGCCAAAAGAGTTGTCAAGAGTATCACAAGAGGATCACCACCCTGGGACCTTCTAAAACACAGGAGAAACAAATTGCTCCTCCTTACAACAGGAGGTATTTTTAACAAAATTTTTGCAAGAATGATTAGTTTAATATCACATTCTGAGCATTGAGTGTGCCCTATATTGTTTTAAGCAAGTGACTTGAAGGCAGTTCCTTAGCCCTGGTCTACGCTACGACTTTAGGTCGAATTTAGCAGTGTTAAATCGATGTAAACCTGCACCCGTCCACACAATGAAGCCCTTTATTTCGACTTAAAGGGCTCTTAAAATCGATTTCCTTACTCCACCCCTGACAAGCGGATTAGCGCTTAAATCGGCCTTGCTGGCTCGAATTTGGTGTACTGTGGACACAATTCGACGTATTGGCCTCCGGGAGCTATCCCAGAGTGCTCCATTGTGACCGCTCTGGACAGCGCTCTCAACTCAGATGCACTGGCCAGGTAGACAGGAAAAGAACCGCAAACTTTTGAATCTCATTTCCTGTTTGGCCAGCGTGGCAAGCTGCAGGTGACCATGCAGAGCTCATCAGCAGAGGTGACCATGATGGAGTCCCAGAATCGCAAAAGAGCTCCAGTATGGACCGAACGGGAGGTACGGGATCTGATCGCTGTTTGGGGAGAGGAATCCGTGCTATCAGAACTCCGTTCCAGTTTTCGAAATGCCAAAACCTTTGTCAAAATCTCCCAGGGCATGAAGGACAGAGGCCATAACAGGGACCCGAAGCAGTGCCGCGTGAAACTGAAGGAACTGAGGCAAGCCTACCAGAAAACCAGAGAGGCGAACGGCCGCTCCGGGTCAGAGCCCCAAACATGCCGCTTCTATGATGAGCTGCATGCCATTTTAGGGGGTTCAGCCACCACTACCCCAGCCGTGTTGTTTGACTCCTTCAATGGAGATGGAGGCAACACGGAAGCAGGTTTTGGGGACGAAGAAGATGATGATGATGATGAGGTTGTAGACAGCTCACAGCAAGCAAGCGGAGAAACCGGTTTTCCCGACAGCCAGGAACTGTTTCTCACCCTGGACCTGGAGCCAGTACCCCCCGAACCCACCCAAGGCTGCCTCCTGGACCCAGCAGACGGAGAAGGGACCTCCGGTGAGTGTACCTTTTAAAATACTATACATGGTTTAAAAGCAAGCATGTGAAAGGATTACTTTGCCCTGGCATTCGCGGTTCTCCTGGATGTATTCCCAAAGCCTTTGCAAAAGGTTTCTGGGGAGGGCAGCCTTATTGCGTCCTTCATGGTAGGACACTTTACCACTCCAGGCCAGTAACACGTACTCGGGAATCATTGTACAACAAAGCATTGCAGTGTATGTTTGCTGGCGTTCAAACAACATGCGTTCTTTATCTCTCTGTGTTATCCTCAGGAGAGTGAGATATAATTCATGGTCACCTGGTTGAAATAGAGTGCTTTTCTTCAGGGGACACTCAGAGGAGCCCATTCCTGCTGGGCTGTTTGCCTGTGGCTAAACAGAAATGTTCGCCTGTGGCTAAACAGAAATGTTCGCCGCTGTTAGCCACAGGGAGGGGGGAAGGTGGAGGGGGTAGCCACGCAGTGGGGGGAGGCAAAATGCGACCTTGTAACGAAAGCACACGTGCTATGTATGTAATGTTAACAGCAAGGTTTACCCTGAAAGAGTGTAGCCACTGTTTTATAAAATGTGTCTTTTTAAATACCGCTGTCCCTTTTTTTTTCTCCACCAGCTGCATGTGTTTCAATGATCACAGGATCTTCTCCTTCCCAGAGGCTAGTGAAGATTAGGAAAAAAAAAAAAAACCGCACTCGTGATGAAATGTTCTCTGAGCTCATGCTGTCCTCCCACACTGACAGAGCACAGACGAATGTGTGGAGGCAAATAATGTCAGAGTGCAGGAAAGCACAAAATGACCGGGAGGAGAGGTGGCGGGCTGAAGAGAGGGCTGAAGCTCAAATGTGGCGGCAGCGTGATGAGAGGAGGCAGGATTCAATGCTGAGGCTGCTGGAGGATCAAACCAGTATGCTCCAGTGTATGGTTGAGCTGCAGCAAAGGCAGCTGGAGCACAGACTGCCACTACAGCCCCTGTGTAACCAACCGCCCTCCTCCCCAAGTTCCATAGCCTCCACACCCAGACGCCCAAGAACGCGGTGGGGGGGCCTCCGGCCAACCAGCCACTCCACCACAGAGGATTGCCCAAAAAAAAGAAGGCTGGCATTCAATAAATTTTAAAGTTGTAAACTTTTTAAGTGCTGTGTGGCATTTTCCTTCCCTCCTCCACCACCCCTCCTGGGCTACCTTGGTAGTCATCCCCCTATTTGTGTGATGAATGAATAAAGAATGCATGAATGTGAAGCAACAATGACTTTATTGCCTCTGCAAGTGGTGATCGAAGGGAGGAGGGGAGGGTGGTTAGCTTACAGGGAAGCAGAGTGAACCAAGGGCGGGGGGTTTCATCAAGAAGAAACAAACAGAACTTTCACACCGTACCCTGGCCAGTCATGAAACTGGTTTTCAAAGCTTCTCTGATGCGTACTGCGCCCTCCTGTGCTCTTCTAACAGCCCTGGTGTCTGGCTGCGTGTAACCAGCAGCCAGGTGATTTGCCTCAACCTCCCACCCCGCCATAAACGTCTCCCCCTTACTCCCACAGATATTGTGGAGCGCACAGCAAGCAGTAATAACAGTGAGAATATTGGTTTTGCTGAGGTCTAAGCGAGTCAGTAAACTGCACCAGCGCGCCTTTAAACGTCCAAATGCACATTCTACCACCATTCTGCACTTGCTCAGCCTGTAGTTGAACAGCTGCTGACTACTGTCCAGGCTTCCTGTGTACGGCTTCATGAGCCATGGCATTAAGGGGTAGGCTGGGTCCCGAAGGATAACTACAGGCATTTCAACATCCCCACCAGTTATTTTCTGGTCTGGGAAGAAATTCCCTTCCTGCAGCTTTTGAAACAGACCAGAGTTCCTGAAGATGCGAGCGTCATGTACCTTTCCCGGCCATCCCACGTTGATGCTGGTGAAACGTCCCTTGTGATCCACCAGAGCTTGCAGCACTATTGAAAAGTACCCCTTGCGGTTTATGTACTTGCCGGCTTGGTGCGCCGGTGCCAAGATAGCGATATGGGTTCCGTCTATGGCCCCACCACAGTTAGGGAATCCCATTGCAGTAAAGCCATCCACTATGACCTGCACATTTCCCAGGGTTACTACCCTTGATATCAGCAGATCTTTGATTGCGTGGGCTACTTGCATCACAGCAGCCCCCACAGTAGATTTGCCCACTCCAAATTGATTCCCAAAGCTGTCTGGCGTTGCAAGCTTCCACAGGGCTATCGCCACTCGCTTCTCAACTGTGAGGGCTGCTCTCATCTTGGTATTCATGCGCTTCAGGGCAGGGGAAAGCAAGTCACAAAGTTCCATGAAAGTGCCCTTACGCATGCGAAAGTTTCGCAGCCACTGGGAATCGTCCCAGACCTGCAACACTATGCAGTCCCACCAGTCTCCGCTTGTTTCCCAAGCCCAGAATCGGCGTTCCACAGCTATTGGAGCTATGCCCCATTATCACCGTGACGCATGCATTGGCAGGGCCCATGCTTTCAGAGAAACCTGTGTCCATGTCCTGATCACTCACGTGACCGCGCTGACGTCGTCTCCTCACCCGGTATCGCTCTGCCAGGTTCTGGTGCTGCATATACTGCTGGATAATGAGTGTGGTGTTTAATGTGCTCCTAATTGCCAAAGTGAGCTGAGCGGCCTCCATGCTTGCCTTGGTACAGCGTCCGCACAGAAAAAAGGTGCGAAACGATTGTCTGCCGTTGCTCTGACAGAGGGAGGGGCGACTGACGCACAGCTTACAGGGTTGGCTTCAGGGAGCTAAAATCAACAAAGGGGGTGGCTTTACATCAAGGAGTATTTCAGGCAGGACTTCACGGAGGGTTCCAATAAGAAATGGTGCACCTAAGTTATTGTTCTTATTGGAACAAGGAGGTTAGTCTGGCCTCTGATTGATACATGGCTAGATTTACCTCGCTGCACCTTCCCTGTGAGTGACTGCAGTGTGACCTAGAGGAATGAGTCCCCTAGATGGGGGAGAGAGGGGAACCAAATGAGTACAAAACAAATCTAGTCTATTTCTTGTTTTGATACACTCCATCTATCTTTTACATCTTTGGCTGGCAGCAGACGGTGCAGAAGGACTGCATGCCATCCACATCTCAGGGCTGCTCGGCAGAAGATGGTACAATACGACTTGTTAGCCATCCTCATCTCTTGCCTGCCCGGCAGAAGATGATGCAATAGGACTGCTAGCAATCCATATCGCCTGCCTGTTCACCATAAGATGGTTCAATAGGACTGACTGCAGGACTAAAGAGAATGACTTGATCAAGTCACTCCAAATTTAGTCCCTGCGCCCATGTCTGCCCAGGCGCTCCTGATCCACCTGACACAGGCAACCAGGAGCACCTCGGACAGGACTATGACGGCTACCAGTCCCATTGCACCATCTGCTGCCACAAGGCAATGGGTTGCTGCTACTGTGTAGCAATGCAGTACCGCGTCTGCCAGCACCCAGGAGACATACGGTGACAGTGAGCTGAGCGGGCTCCATGCTTGCCGTGGTATGGCGTCTGCACAGATAACTCAGAAAAAAGGGCGCAAAACGATTGTCTGCCCTTGCTTTTACGGAGGGAGGGAGGGAACGGGGGCCTGACGATATGTACCCAGAACCACCCGCAACAATGTTTTAGCCCCATCAGGCATTGGGATCTCAACCCAGAATTCCAATGGGCAGCGGAGACTGCGGGATAGCTACCCACAGTGCAACGCTCCGGAAGTCGACTCTAGCCTCGGTACTGTGGAAGCACTCCACCGAGTTAATGCACTTAAAGCATTTTCTGTGGGGACATACACACTCGAATATATAAAACCGAGTTCTAAAAAACCTACTTCTATAAATTCGACCTAATTTCGTAGTGTAGACATACCCTGAAAATACAACGTTATGGGCTATAGCTATTTCTACATGATTATTTCTATTTTTATTTGGTACTGTATATCTAGATCTAGCTTCAAATACACTAAATCCCAGACTCAGAAATGCTGCCAAATGCCATGTTTAACGTATAAAACAGATTTTGAATTTAAGTGAAACATTTTGTGCATGTATATAATTTTCACTACTGCATTCAGACACTTTGTTCTCCTTCAGTTATATATGTGAAAGTAAACAAAAATCCTCATCCTACACCACTAAAGTAAGTAATTCATTTATGAACAAAAAAGTGAAAAGCACTTCCAAATCTGGTTCAAAGTATTCAACTCTCATCCCAAACACTAGACCCAGATACTTCTGTGCATGAGGGCAGCTTTGTGCTACTGGCACGAGCTCCCATAAAGTCTGATTAACCAGCCAAGGTAGGAGGATCCTTAGATGGCAAACACTTCCTATGCGATCATCCCATCTCTACAGCTAGAACAAGTAGTGTGGCCAAAACCATACCTCTCAGCCTCAGCATAACTCTATTAACCCCCGTTTTCTGAAAATTCAGCTGTAGATGTCTGACTTCTATCCAGTTGTTTGACTCCACCTAGTATTTCCAAATGTACTTGTTCTACATAGAGAACAAAAGAACCCAGGAAATCCTGGTGCCTAGTACGCTTCAAATTACTAGATGGAATGCACTCCATCGCTTAATTTGAGGCCTAAGTTATTCAGGTGTCTTTACCGGAAAATGCACAATTTAAGATGCATACATGCAGTGCATCTCTGTTATTAACCAACATTCAGTTAACTGACAGTCCACCACAGCACTACACTCATTTATCCCAAGTCCCCATTTCCAAAATATAGCATCTATACTCTCCAACCACCAGTTATATATGTTATTTATTCAAAAGTTGGCCAAATAACCATATGGTTACTAACTGATGGCTAACTCACCTTTGCTGTAATACATATGGAAAACTGCAATATGATAAGAACTAGGCAGGTGGGAAACTGCAATTACTCCTTCTGATTGGCTAAAAATTGCCTATATCCTCTTAGTGTCACCCTATTTCCCTCAAAGACCAGCCTGCTTAGCCTTTCATTAAATCTGTTATTTCTTTTAGATTGTACACTCTTTGGAGGCAGGGTCTGTCATTTACTATATATACAGTACCTGTAACAAAGAGGTCTGGATCTGATCAGCCTGTAGAGGTAACTGCAGAATAAAACAGGCCTGGCAGAATATGATTTTTATTTATAATTTTGATGGATAATATCAATATTTATTTTGACAGGCTTCAGAGTAGCAGCCGTGTTAGTCTGTATCTGCAAAAAGAAAAGGAGGACTTGTGGCGCCTTAGAGACTAACAAATTTATTTGAGCAGAAGCTTTCGTGAGCTACAGCTCACTTCATTGGATTCACTTTTTAAGCATTTTTTCAATTTTATCAATTTATATGTTCATAGTTGCAGGAAATTATTGGGATCTCAGACAATTTAATGACAGTAGACACTGAGGCCAGGTCACCCTACAGACTTATATCAGTATAACGGTTACTCAAGGGTGTGAAAAATCCATACCCCTAAGCAACATTGGTATACCAATCTAACCCCATGTGTAGATAGCATTATGTCAGCAGGAGAGCTTTTCTCAGAACAACATTGCTCCTGTGGAGACTGATTAACTTGGCCGACAGAAGAAGCTCTCCCATCGGCATAGGAGCATCTTCACTTAAGCACTACAGCGGCACAACTGTAGCCAATGCAGCATTTTAAGTATACCTGCCCTGAGTTTAAAAAAAATAAAGTATTATTGCCATTAAAACACAAGTTATCACATGTTAAACTATGCAAAGTATATATCCTTAAATCAAATAAAATTGTCAAGTAGCACTTTTCTTACTTTGCCCATCTGCAAATATCGATTATTAGTCACAGAAATATCTTTTCATGGGGTTCTGTGGGCTACAGTGAAATCAACCATTTACCAATAAAATCGAATCCTTTCAAGCCTAAATATTAACAATATGATGGTCAACCTGGTGTCCCTGAGGAGTGTAGTACCTTGTAATGCACCTCTACTGACCTCACGTCCCCGTGCCCAGAAGCCACCTGGACCCACACACACAAGCGGGGCAGGGGCTGCTCAACTCTCCAGTGAGCCAAAATTGCAGAGCAACTAGGGACCAGTCACATATCCTGGGGGGGGGGGGGAACCACACCCCCAAAGGCGGCGCAGCCCCACATCCCCTCGCACTAGGGTGACCTACCCTCAGCGTGCCCCCCCCCCCCCCCCGGGCAGTTGGTGCCGTACCCCCGTCGCGGCCTGATATTTGGAAGCTGCAGAGCCGTTGCCGCAGGAGGAGGGGAGCTCGTCTGCCAGGGGCAGGAGTTCGCGCCTGCGCAGATCCCTCGGCCCCCTCCCGCCCTGTCCCAGCCCTGCCCCCGGGGGCTCCCCCCTCGGTTCCCCTCACCAGCAGGTCGGCGTTGGCCGCCAGACGAAGTTGGGGCTTGTGTCTCTTTATCAGCTTCCGCAGGGTGCTGCGGGGCGCCGCTCGCTTCATCCTCCCCGCCACCGCCGTGCAGGCTACAGCCC